ATCATACTCACGTGGTGGAGTAGGCCTAGGAGTAGGCCTGGGTGTGGGTCTGGGTGTTGGACAGTTGCCCCTAATGAGGCAATTAACCTGAAAGCGATAGATCAGTGTTGGTGCAAGGAAATAGATTCTCTTGGAGGAATACCTCTAGGATACTTAGTAAATGATTTATCTACTCAGGAAAATTATCTTGTGGAAGTGTTGGTCAGCGAAGTCGAGGAGGAATCAAAAATAGGGTAGTGCAGTCCCTGGCAAATTATGGGAAGGTAAACCAAATGTATGTCGAGTGGGCAGTGGTTAAAGAGTGGGCAGTACTTAGAAAACTGTTTGGCCACATCGGCGCCTCAGGATTTTCTTGAATTTACAACTTATATTAAGAAAGTCTTGACCTGCATAAGCTCTGGATTCGTTTTTTTATGTTTCAATACAATTAAATCCATTCACCTGACTTATAATACCTGGGATTTGTGCCAACGGTCTCGTTTGTCGCTCTGAAAATTGGAACAGTTTGATTAAGAAGAAGAAATTCCTGTCAAGACTTTTTTCACTTCGAGACATTTTAATCGTGGCTATTCTGTTTATTGTTTACAAATCCTGGGTCTCCAAATTTCACTTGGAGAAATAAAACTCGTCATTAACAAGGCTTCTGAAGAAATTCCAACCGAAATCTTGAAAATTCTCAGATTACATTGTTGTGAAGTCACTGAGACTGTGAACCCGCAGGGTGTTGAGCAGTTCTTCGACAAGGGCTTCTCCGGACCTCGCAAAGTCAGGGCACTTCGCAGTGACGCAGTTTTTTGGAAGCAACGGTAGAAACACTTAGAGCATTACCAATGGGAATGGATATTTATTAGTTTCTATTTGTTTCCACCCTAATTTGTTCTTTTACGTCTGAAAACCGCATTGAACCTTTTCTCTGTACCCAGCGCGAGAACAATTTGAAATGAATTGAATTTATGAAAGGCTCGAAAGCAGCAAGTTATGGTCATCATCGACCAGAGACCGGTAGTCATTTGGAAAGTTGGAAAGGCTTAGTCTGTACGAGCGAACTCATATGTATGGCTCAATCCGAAGCTTCGCTACATCAGCAAAGATCTGCCACTGCTATACTTCTTGCTTTTCTTGGATAAACAATCAGTGAACAGACATACTTTCTCTGGATTGAGCAGGGCAATAGGAGACATCGATGCACTTCCCTGTTTCGCTTTCAACTTTCCCGGCTGGGCATTGGCAAGTCTTGCTCTTGCATTTGTCCGCCTAAACACTTATAGTATTTAGTGGGACATCAAAAAAACTCGACATATGTAAATATATGCATATATCAGTACTTATATTGATATGTATTGATAAATGTGTTAGTCAAAATTGTAATCTTCGATAGCCGGGAAGGATGTAATATTTAGGGACTCGTCAATCATTTAGATGTCATTGACATGCAGCTCAAGGCCAAAATATTAATCTCGATATAGAAATCTTTCATAGACATTATTTTCACTAAAGTCGGCACGTCGTTGTACGACGATCAATCTTTTTGAGATGTAATACGTAGCCGACCTTCCTTTCTTTACTGTCATGGCATCTCTGCAAGATTGTCTGAGAAAGCTCAAGAAAAGTAGGTATAATTGTTTTCCCAGACCAGTTTGACATGAACGGCAGTATCGAAAGAGTTAATTGGCTCGAAATGGCTTGACAATCCCTTTATGCAACTAGCTATTCTTCCACCGACCTATACTACCGCTTCAGCAAGTTGTGTTTTCAAGTTTTCAATAAGGAAGACAAGGAATCAAAGAAATTAAAGAATCAAAAGAAAAAGGGCAGTTTTGTTGATGAATAGCCATCATGATGATGAGCAAGTTGTTTTAAAGGTAATTAAACTGCAAAAAAAACCTCGGGACATGTGGTTGTATTGCTACAGGTAGGATAACACCGTCTTGAGCATGAAAGTTCTCGTCCAAGCTCACATTCTGAAAATAGTGTTCCTAAATTATAAACTGCTTAGTTGATGATTCTATAACACTGCTTATTGACATTTATTAAATTATTAAAAGAGCTGCCTAGGACAGTTTGAAAACAGTCAAATCGATACTGACTACATTCCATGCCGTTTGCTTCTTGGAACCCGCGACAGTCTCAAAATCAGTAACATCGCTGCTGACTCCATGCTGTTTGCTCCCTTGAAAAAGCTCATCTTTCTTACCTCCTCACGCCTTCCAGCGCTCTCAACCATACACTATAACTTCTGGCTCCTGCCAAAGTCCTTAAGAAAATCAAACAAATGGATTACTGCCATCTACGTACTTTTCGGCGAGTGAATGAGTTCACTTCAGTCAACACCACCAATTTGCAAATCGAAAGTCAAGTGGCCTTTTTTAGAAAACTGTCTCACCCTCCATACCGGAGGCGTTGGGTCAAAGTCATATAGTAACCACAACCTTTTTCATAGCAAATGACCGGAGCCGATGGAGTAGAATTTCCGTGAATGAGGAAATACTCAATAGTCTTTACAATATTTTTCCAAGACCTTCAAATAGCTGTCGGAAATGCTCACCTTTGACATTAGCGGCGTTGACGACACAAACAAAAATCAACGTCCAGATGGAGTATTGCACGATCGGCGACTAAAACTACTGCAGTCACCAGCGCTGTAGTAGAAATAAAAGCAACTTGGCAATTGGTAAAGTATAA